TGACCGTCATCAATTGTGTCATACGACGACAACATACAATTTTCTGCCGACGATTTAAATGACACCGTTATACAATCTTGCTGCATTGAACATGTTATCAAACAATGAGCAATACTGTTTGAACTGATTTCGTTAGATATAAAGTCAACTTTGAGTTTATAGTTTATCCGAGCTTTATGTTTGATATTTTGTTCCGCTAAACATATTTGCATTATTATGTATGTTACAAAAACTCGCTTATATCCTTTTGGAGACATTTCCAATTAAAGTGTTTTTAACAAGTACGTTTGAAAAGAATCAGTGTTGCTACAACTGGAATATTGATTAAAAAAATAAAGCGTGTCGATTCCGAATGATTAATCGGACCATCCTTTGTGTAGGCTTATGAATTATATAACGCATAATTTGAAAACGTAATTGGTATCAAAACAAAAGTACTTATGTTGGATGTTTTAAGTCAAGCCTATCGAGAAAGGTAACAAAAGTAAGGCTTGTCAATATACAAGACGAACTTGAAAACTTATTTTGTAATCTTGTACATGTAGTTTAGACTGATCTTTTATCGATAAAACTTTAGTGAAATAAATTTATTTCTTGAATAAAATCAACTTCAGTTACATTTTTATTGCAATTTTGTGATTTTAACTTTAGCTCATTGCTTTCGAGGAAGGAATTCCCTCACCTGCCGTTTATTTTCAGATTTTTATACAGAGTCAACATGTCTTTATGTAGAGACTTTTTGTCTAAGGCAGAAATACATGTATATTACATATAAGGGAGGTAAATCAGTAGTGCATATTCATTAGAGTTATATGTGCTGTAGAATTGTCCCTCTTAGTAACAAAGAAACAGTCTCTTGTAATTATATTATGAATGACTGCTATACTTTATTTTATGTTTTTTTTGTATTATCTATGTTATATATCTATCCAAAATGTAACGTTTCAAACAAAACGGATAAAATATCGGGGAAAGAAAGAATGAAGCTATGCCTTTTTCTGATTTACATTGAAATTAGTTATTAGCGATACTATTATAATAATTGAAGAAAAGGATATCTACCAGTCTCACCCGTTCGAGGGTTCTTCAAGATAATGACGTAACTAACGTCGCTTGGTAATGAAAGTAAATACATCATACAGGGACGTCACTCTTATAACGTTTGGAAGGAACTTGATAAGTTTTAATAGACTATGATATAGAATAGAAAGTATTGTACTAACAAAAATCAACAATTGAAAATCTTCTGAACTTAAGTCAGATTGTTTTGTAGTGTAACTGCTGAATAAATGATAGTAATAATTGTCTCCTAAGTTACATTTATTGAACTAATATGGTATTTGAATCTGTTTAAAAGTTATCAACAGGAATAATTTTGAAACATATAAATCTATAGCCGCTTTTTAGCGTAACAGTAAAATGGTTTCGGTCTTATAACAACACTGATATCAAAGTTCTCGGAAAGTCTCGGATCGCACGAGATGTGCTTTCCTTACACCAGCGCTGCAAAAGGTTACTGACATACAAAAATAACGTGTTTTTGCGAAGGATTCTCCAGGACATTGACGCAACCCGTTCCCAAAAGGTATCAAGCTGAAACAAAGCAGAAAGATGTAACAATATCATTTCTTAAGTTGTTGCAACTAATAACTTTAACAATCTCGTTTAACATTATAAGTCATTAAAAATGTGATACTTGAGGTACAGAAAGAGTTAACCGGAAAATCATTAATTTACAATTCTTTTTCTTTCTTATAATTTAAATTTTATAGGCAGATCATGAGCTTGAATCTAGTGAAGTATTATACTTTTTTCGCAATATGTGTTCAGAAGGAAGCACGTTGCCATGACTGTCCAAGAATCTCTCTGGGCGAAATGTCCATGGATCTCCCCAAATCTCCTTGTTGTGGTGGATATACCAACTATTCCCAATTACCTTTGAACAGAAAGATAACTTTTAATGTTGTTGTGTTCTTTAAAAAATGTGTTCTATGAAAAACATACTAAAACTTTATATGATGCCTTTTTGAATGATGTTGATAAAACAATTAATGTTTAATCAACGCAACGAAAGAGAACCTCTCAGTGGCCAAAAGATGACATTTGTGCGTTGTTATCTATCTGTGCACAAGAGATACTATGTCGTGGCCGCGAGTTACTTAGTGGTGCGAATGAGATAAGTTAGTCGTGCGCACGAGATGCTATGTGTGGCCACAAGGTACTAAGTCGTTTGCACGAGATTATTAGTTTGTGTGTACGAGAAACTATGTCGTTATAAAGTCGTGATCACGACATAGTATCTCATGCACACCACTTAATGTGTTTGTGCACGAGACTCGTTGTCACGAAATAGTATATCGTGCTCTCCACTTAGTTACGCCCTGCGCATAACATAGTATCTCATGCGCGGGAGATGAACAGAAACACACAAGTCACTGCTATGCCACCGTGTACGATACATATGATTCTGTTTACGGATATTTAGGTAGCTTGTAGCCTTTGTTTTCTATACCTATGATTTAGGTATGTTGAAATATGATAACACTTAATTGTCTACTTTGTTTACGGTACATTATGTATAATTAGAAATGCTATATTTCAATATTTGCCATCAAGATGTAAAGCCCTTTGTAGAAATGCTGTTTATCGAAATTTTGTTTATATCCCCAACAGTTATATAGATATGCAAATATTTAGAAAAATAAATCAAAGAAAGATATTCATTCAACATAATATAGTACAGGAGCTTATATTGTGTGATATTAATATACACATTTCTAGAGAAAGCAGTATCACCGTGCATATCAAGTGACTCAGGAATGTGCAATTATCGTAAAAGTAACGCCGAATTTTTTGCAACGCTATAGCAAAAACGCATTACACAGTCAGTAAACAACCCAAACTATTTTATCCTTAATCAAATTTAAAGAAATTAATAAGCGCATAAGGCAACTACATTATACTTTAACCAGCATTACATTTTTTCAGGGATGTCTTTACTTTCTTAGATCATTCGTGAGAAAGACAACCTGATTATCGTTTTAAGGTGTCTTTCGTGTTTTGTCAAATAAATAATTATGTATATTTAACCCATTTAAAACTATTTTTTCATATTCTGTATACCCAAGACATTTTACAAACTACAAGTGTCGTATAACAATAGAAGGATGCTGGTAAAATAGGATTTAGCTACTTTTAATGAGATAACCGCTGTTGCTTCAGTGCTTCATTCACGAATTCGAAGTTACCTGGTAAAAATGCTCTCAATTACGTTTTATCTGCTTATATAATGTAACAGGGCACGAGTAGATTGGAAAATGTCTCAGGTACACCGAGTATAAAAAAAAAAAAACATAAAGTTATATGTACGTTATTATATTAATTTTAAAGATATCAACTTAACTAAAAATAGCCATCAATACGCTAGTCAGGTCGTCATTATCACGAATGATCTTGAAAATAGCATTATCATGGACATATTTTGATGACGAAGGTAAAATATCTCAGCAACCGTATGCGCTAACTAAATTCTTCCAATTTGGTGTACAATGAAAGATATTGGTCCATTTACTTATCACGGTGTTCGTTTTAGCCACTAAATTGAACACGTCTGCGTTACTTTTGCACAATTTCTGCGTTATTTGCACATTCCTCCTTTATTGGATATACACCGTGAGTACGGTAATTACATATACACAGTGTGAAATTATTCAAAGTGATGTACGTGCAAGTAGACGGTGTTAAAGAATGTTAAGTTAGAAGCAGACAACACGATCTGAATATTATTCGATAATGGTGGAAGTAGGCAACCTTATTTGCGAACGATTAGACAATGTTCAGTTGGAAGAAGGCAGCATGACTATAAGTAATTAGTAATAAGATTATGTTAACGTGCGGGCAGATAACATGATCGAAGGGTATCAGATATATGTTAAGTGGAAGCAAGCAGCATGGACTGCGAGATATGACAATACTCATATAGGACTACATCATGACCTGTATGTGATAAGATAATGTTAACATAAATACAGGTAACATGACCTAAAGATATTTAAAATGTTTACGTGCGCGTGGAAACAGGCATTAAGACCTGTGACTGATTAAACAATGTTTAGGTGAATGCAGAATATGACCTGAGTATGATAAGACAATGTTTTAAAGGAAGAAGGCAGCATGACCTAAATGTGATAAGACAATGTTCAAATTGAAGCAGGCAACATGACCTGCGACTGATAAGACAATATTTAGATGGAAGCAGGCAATATGACCTGCGACTGATTAGACACAGTTCATATGGAAGCAGGCAATATGACCTGCGGCTGATTAGACAATGTTCAAATGGAGGCAGGCAATATGACCTGCGACTAATTAGACACAGTTCAGATGAAAGAGGGCAAGCTGACCTGAATGTGAAAAGACAAAGTTCAGGAGGAAGCAGGCAACATGACCTGGATATGGCAAGACAATGTTCAGATGGGTGCAGGTTAGATGACTTGCGACTGATTAGACACAATTCAGATGGAAGAAGACAACATGACCTGACTTTGATTAGACAATGTTCACGTCGAAGAAGGCAACATGACCTGAAAGTGAATAGGCTTTGGTCTGATGGAAGCGGGAAAGATTACTTGTGACCGACAAAACAAAGCAGGCAACATGACCCGTAAATAATTTCAATGACATGATGTAAATATGATTATACAATCTTCAGATCAAAGCTGACAATTTGACCAAAGTTTCAATATGGGACGAACATGTGTGCATTTTTGATAAATTAATACATATCATCCACTCATTATTATATATCTATCTGTACTAAGGTGTTCAAAGACCTACCGTGTAAAACATCTCATAAACTTTGTCTCGAATTATTGAAGATAGCTTACCGTGCTGTTTATTGCAATATCATATCTTTCAAAGTCTACGTCTTCTTTGCATTTATGAGGCAACATAAGTGGGACAACTGTAATGTATCTATGCACTTCCATCTCAAATGCTTTGAAAAAAGAGCAATTACTTCTGTCTTTAAATGTCGGAAGTCGCTGTCTTCCAATTTCCCTGTCAAACTCATTCTAAAGCAGCTTCTGATGTTGTGGATAATTCAGTAATATCAACATTGTATTTGAAAGAACTGACCAAGTTGTTGTGATTCCTATAACATGGTAACAAATAAAAAATTCTTGCAGGATTAAGTATGGTGGCATATTTCTGCCACCAGATAACCATATAACTAACTAGTTAATAAATAGGTTGACTTGTTACGTTTCTTGTTAACCTCTGAATTAACTAGTCGGTTATAAGGTTATCTGGTGGCAGAAATATGTCACCATAAATAACTATACAGTAAGGTAAAAATAAAAAGTACAAAAGGGTACATACAACTTTGGTTTTGATTTTACTATTGTGAAAAGTTTTTTTCTTGTCAAGTCATACGCTAGAATTAAGGTTACTAATGTAATAGTAAATGCTACTCAGCCAGAATGTGGTCTGTATTTAGCCGTATCAAAATATCTCTCAGATGTTGACTTGAAAATTTTAAAGTGGTAAGGTAGCAGCTTAACTGTCAATGTTACTCATTCCTATGCAATATTGGAATCCCATCAGTAAATGAATATATCAATTATTTTTACTTCCTTGAAAAATATTTAACCTCAGACAGTAAGTAACCTGGTGATTTTTTAAAGTTTCTTTCTCTATGATTTTTGGTATATACATCGTTTCAAAACTTTAATGCCTATAATCATTTAAAGATCGCCGATGTTGATTGAATAAAGGCATAGAATGGCAATCATGCAAGTGACTTATGCCTGGTGGTTATTTTGTCGCTGACGGTAAAAAACGAAAATGAGCGGATAAATACGTGTATTTACGATTATGTAAAGCTGAGAAAGTAACTTCTGTTTTGTCGGCGTATACACGAACAATGAGCATTACGCATGTTATGATGAACACTTGATATTGCTACTATCAGAAAAACAGTTAATGTGTTGTCGTTTAACCGAATGCATTTTGTTGAAATACCTTCTAATGTTAAATCGGCAAACTCAATCCAAGAATGCAACATTGGAGTTTACATACAAAGAAATACAACTGTATTTTGTCCGTAAACAAACTTTTCAACTCTGATCAACAAGGCTGGATGTTTGGCAACGAATAGCCACCATAGTCATACACCCCTATGTAAGACAAGTCGCGTGCTTTAAATGAGGTCTTTGCCGCGTGCCTTTAATGAATGAATTGCGTTTTTATGATAACTTCATTTTACCGTTACGAAATAAGTTTGCGAGTTCATACACTACAATAAGAAAAAAAGAGTGCGTAATGAGAATATCAGTTTTCCTAATTTCTGTTCTGAAAACAATTGATATGTAATATGCAAGCAAAAGAATCAAAAACCGGCTGTCGGTACAGACGGGAATATGTAGCTCTCGGTAACCTGTTGCGTTGAAACGCGGCAGAGCCTCGTTACTGCCGTAAACCCTCGAGCTAGATATTCTGGTCTATTCCGGCAGCCATTGTAAGATTCTAATAATCTGTAATACATATTATTTCTTTATATCATCACTTTATTAAATATCATAATAATGTTTACCCCCATCTATTATGTCAATCACTTGTGCTATAATTGTATCGTCCGTAAAGAAAACGTCCGCTCCACCCTCTTTTTGTTGATTCTGTTCCTCGAGAAATACATCTACGATACCACGGACTTTTCCTCTAACGAATGATCTCTGTTATAGAAAATAAGCACAACATCAACTCAAAATTGTAAACGTGTACTAGATGTGAACATCTTGAAAATAAGTGTTAATGAAAATATGCCTATTCCTTTTTTGGCAAGATGCATGAATTTCAACATATTATTTAACTTTCCACTGTCATTTATACATTGGATATTTAAACACATTGTCTTAAAAAATAGAATTGTCATAATATCTTTTTGAACATATACAATTGTTTCAATTTAATTTTCTAAAGTGATACATAGGTGAACATCAATCTATCAAACAGTATCAATTTTATAAACCATGTAAAATATGTAAGAAAGCAAACCTTCACATCGTGAAAATATTTCTTGACAATTTTTGCATTAACAGCCTTTGCTTTTACGAATTCGTTTTTGTACCTTCCAGGCATTTATCGTACAAACGGTAACACTGACATTATGAAGTTTACATAAGAATTGAAACGTGTATTTCATCCAGGAACATGTTCTTTTCTTTTTCATCGTCTAGAAGTGGTTCACCAATCAACTGTAAAACATCAAAAGAGTTGCTATTTTTATATCAAAGATACTAAATGTACCAAGCATAACCTAATTTTAATTGCATATCAGACAGGATTTATCTACAGTTTACACCGGTACTGGATAATCCTGTCTTACACTCCCACCCCACCCCCTATATAAGACAAGTCACGTGCTTTAAATGATGTCATGAAGTTGTGAATTCATACGACACTATAAGATAAGAAATGGATAAATGAAAATTATGTTCGTTATGTCTTAACTAATTATGATTTATATGTCATATGCAAGAAAAAGAGAATCAAACACCGGTTGTCGATATCGGCACGCATATAAGCTCGGTAGAGCATCGTTACCGCCGTAAACATGACACTCGGTCCGTAGCGGCAGCCAGTGTAAGATCCTGTATTATTTGTCACACTAATGAATTAAGTTGATGAAAAAATAACATATTCCGCATTGCATGTTTTACAACGATTTAATTTGTATAAACTTCGATAAGAAAGAGCAATACTTTTACAATTTACTAAACTTTTTAAAGTAGCATATAGAGGATATTCAAGTATTGTTTCTATAAAATACTGTATTTATGTTCATCGAGAGGTAGCCATATGTGAAATATTAAAAATTTTTATCACAAGATAAAAAAATAAATCCTGTATGTATAGAAAAAGCTTGAATTGTGTGTTTATTAGGTACCTTGTCTCTTTTTTGACTTTGCAATTCTCAAGACTTCTCATTTATTTTTGTGTATTGACTGAATTAAAAAAGAAGTTATCCAGCAAGTTACCAGTGAGATACGTAAATTTTGTTTCACTGCAGTGAAAAATATTTTTAAAGTGAAAATACGGAAAATGAAAATAGAATTACGCATTTTCTTTCATCAATATTTCTCAATATTTCATTTATAAGTTTACAATCAACATGCATATTAACACTGTCATTTCAAAAACCGATTATTAATGGAGGAAAATGTTAAGTACCGTATATACCCGAATAGTAAAGTCGTTAGAGCAGAAGCATAATGTTGCTGATACGAGGTTGTTTCTTTTCTCTACTTAATAGGAATGCGATGAGGCATTTCAATATAACTGGCTATTAAGTTATATTACTTTATAGAAAACAAAATCTTTATGGGAGACCATGTGTACGCGGTATGGTATCTCAATAAAGTCTAGTTTAGACTACATATTTTGCTTCACCATATGACATAACTATTTCTATACATAGACAAGATAGCGATTGTTTTGTATTAATATCACATGCAAACGAACTGAAACAGAACAAAATAGCAGAACCTACCATCAGTGACAGAACATTTGAGATAGACTGAAATATTAAGGAAACACATTCAAAAATATTCTCATCCTCAATTCTCGTACGTAAATTAGATAATTCAGTCATGACGTTATTCTCTAAATCCAGTAGTCCACTTCCATAGGCATGCAAAGCTTGCATAACATGTTTCCTTGCAGTTCTATGAAACTGTCCTGTCCCATCAACCACAAAACCTAAAGCTTTGCTATTGCAAGCAAAGTGTTTTCCGTAAAATAACTCAGATCGATCATTAAAAATGTGCTTATATTTATCACCTCCGAAAGATTTTCTAATAACCCGCTCACTATTCAACACTATAAATTTATCAAAAAGTAGTTTAACTTGGTATATTTCACCATATTGTTCTGCGTATTCTGAAAATTTAATATGCATATTCTCGTCATCAATTTCCATGATACTTCCAAGTATAGGCTGTCCTTTTGGTCCGACGAGCGCTTTTCCATTTCCTTTCTTTCTTTTACTAAATAAAACATATAGTAAAAGCATTCCTAAAGCAAAACAAAACAGTTCAAGCTCCATTTTTTAAACAGTCCAGTACAGTTTTAATAACTTGTTTTTTACGCTTAAGTTACCGCAGTATAACACATTTATCGTGACCCTGTACAATAACAAACGAACATTGATAAGATTGTAAATTGTGTGTAGTTGATCATTTGAGGTCACTAACCGCTTCGTTGGTATAATGGGAAGTTTAATTGCTACAGGTTTATTTCAAAATCAAAACACATTTATAAATCATTAGCTAAATATCATTTTATAACTAGTTAGAACGTTATATGTCGCCTCATAGCATAATCATATACAAGTATATCATGTTGACAAATACGAACGAATAGAAATGTAGCATGATAACACGTTATAACATACAATAACATTTTTAAGCTGCACGCCTCAGGATGAGCAAAATTATTTCGATAAAATCAAACCTGAGAAAAATTTACTAAGATTTTGGGAAAGGTATAAAGATTCAAAATTCTAGTAATAATTGACATGTTATATGCGATTAATGACCGATTTTTTTCAGTATTAATAACTATATTTCTTCTACGTTACTAACGCAGTTAGGGCTATTTTTGCATATTGTGACCGTTTTATAGTAATTTACATAGGTTGTAAGTGCCATTCATAATATGTAAATTGCATTCATTTGGTAACTTTACAATATTATACTGTTAAATACATTTTCAAATTTTCATGAAAATTTACATGAATCTGGATAATATTGCAGTATAGTAACATAACAACCAAAATTACTATATATAAAACATAGACTGTGCATATAGTATTGTTGCTACATTACAAATACGTGTAATTAAATAGATAATTAAAGGACACAACATTCAGCCTGAATCAAACAGAGGGTTAACCCTTGGCTCCTTAGGGTCAACATATTCAGTAATTCATAGGTGATACAAACATAAGTATTTTATAACAGTACAGTGCAGTACAGTACAGTACAGCACAGCACAGCATATCACAGCACAGAACAGCACAGTACAGTACAGTATAGTATTTATAATAGTATGTAATGTATTTACAATAGTATAGTATTTATAATAGTCACAACCGATACAAACTAGCTACAACCAATAAACCTTTTACTTCCAGTAGGCGGAGACCACCAGTTCCCTCCGATCTGTAAACATATTGTATAATATACATTATAAAATGTATTCAATGCATTATATAATAAAGCACTTAAAAGAGTTTATCTATTATCACCCAACTTTTATTTATTATGGGAATTAAATGCATCTACATCTGTCATGTAAAGCTATTTTTGTCATCTCCTTCACCTGCCATGCACTCCATGACATTAATAGTATTCAGGTAATCGTGGAATTTCTATTATTTTTGTTGTTGTTAAGCATTAGACTTCTCCATTCATACGTTGAAAATGATTCGCATGCTTTTTGAAATAGTATATTCATTTTGTTTAATACTTTTCACACACCATGATACTTTGTTATATGTTCAAAATGATAATATGGCTATAATCGTAAGCAGTAATCGTCAATTTAATACTACGCATGTTACTTCATTTATCCCTTTTCCCTCTTATTTTAGTTTTTTTTTTCATCTTTAACACCAATACTATCAATTTTAATTACTTGTTCATTATAAATTTTCTAGGGCCATCCAGAGACAATAATTATTTCAATCAAATAACATTGGTAAAAACTAATACACAATTCATTCGAATAATAAAATAAGATTAGACACTATATTTGAATTTGTATCAGTTATTTCTATTACAAATAGTCATAACAATACCCAAAGGCAATATTTGTTGTATGTTAACTTTGTTTGAATATATATTTCTTTTCCCAGTTATGTGTTGACTATTCCAACTGCTTATACTCTTGTTTATAAATTTCCACAATCACATGGTATTGCAGTATTAAATATTTTGTAATCTGTGTCTTCCAAAGTAAGAGTATATTCTCTTCTGTTGTGTTCCATGTACTACGGATTGAACACTGTTTATAAAACAATTGTTTATTGGTATTTATATTGACTACTACTCGCAAATGCAAAATACTGCCAGATTATCTCCGTATTTGATGAATATGAGTTAGATTTGAAGACATTTTTTTATAATTGTGCTCGTTGTTATTTTCTTGAGAAACATTTAACCATTAGCTTATCGGGCACTTAGGTGTTTTCCATACTCTGCATATGCCCTGTTAGCGTCCTAATATACTTACATTTAATATTGTATGGATCAATAATCTTGAGAGTTTATTTACTTTTTAGCAGTTTATCTATTTATTGCTACGCACTCAAAGGCGTGGAGCTATTTGTGTTGATTATATTTTTTGTCCATATACCCGATTTTTATTAGTTAATCCCTTCGATTAACAGATAAAAATAAATTCGGATGCAAGAATTCCTTTCGATTTCTATTATGTACAGTCATATATTGGTTCCCATTTGGTGATTCCAAGTATGTCATATCAATGGATGAGAACGGGAACAAATTTCATTATTAAAGACAAATTGAAAAATAAACTTAAATTTGGAAAATTATTTCTAGCATGTGTATCTTCTACAGGAACTTACTAATTATTTGTAGTACACAGTGGGTTATGTATGTATTTATTGTTGTACATGAATTTGAATGCTATTAATAGATATGACCATCATATTGTGAAAGTCCGGAAATCTATTTACGGTCATTTGTTTCGCGCTATGGGCTGGAGAATTTTGCAGAAAATGAAATGCAAACACATTCAACCATAAATTTCAATGTTCATAAATTTATCGAAAAAATGTAAGTGGGCCATGTTGACTGTTGTAATATTATAGTTTTAACATTTTGGAATGTTTTTCCGTAGTATTTTTTTTTTTTTTTTTGGTTTTTGGTAAATGAATAGCTCCTTTCTTTTTTACGACCGTATTTGCACTTTTGGCATTTCTTTTACCATCGACTCTGATTTCCCGAATTTTTGCTTGACGAAGTTGATTCTATTTTGTTTGAAGGCAATCGGTGGTTTGAGTGGAATGTTGATTTGCCGATTACTGTGACATTTTAACAACAAAAACTTTCGTCTGCAATTTTAACATGAGCTGTCAAACTTGGACGAGGATTTTGAAGCAATTTACCAAATAAAAGATTGATCTCCCATTAAATCAATTAACAATAGCTCTTTTTTATAATCAATGTCAAGAAGCTTTTATATATTTGACTCGTATGAACATGATGTTAGTGAATTTCCTCATATCTGTCTAAAATCAGGTAACAGTCTTCCATTGATAAATAATGTTTCAAAATATGAACATGCAATGCAGATTTATTTATGATTTTTAATGTACCATTATTTTTGTTAACGCGTATATCAAAATAAAATCCTGAATTTGGTCGTTTTGAAATTCATCCCAATCCTTATAATTCACGTGTGTGTTCTACTTTCAGTATTTATCTGGGACTTAGAATATAGCCACTGTATCCAAGGTATTAAAAGAAACCATTTTTATTAATTTGACATGAAATAAATGCAAGTAATATAACTATAATAACTAATTAATTTATTCAAATGATTATTACAAAATGATTCTATCTTATATGCTTAGTCGGTCTCTTAATCATTTTGGTGTGACTTTCCAATATGTTTTGTAAGCATGCTTTCTCTTCATATTTACCTTTTAAACAACGTTTTGAATATTGGAAAATCTTTTTCTTTAAGCTAAAAGTCTTGTTGATTGTATATTAAAGCGAAGGTTTTGTTAATTGTGTGTAAGCCATATCTATAGCAAAAGATATATAGAATGAACGAAATGCAGAAACGAAAGTGATGAAAGTTTTAACCCAATAATTATTTGATAATCATATAATAAGTTTGGATTATTTTGTGTTGAATTCTGAATCGCACGTACTAAATTACATAATTACCCGGAGTGCCCCATATAAAGATGAAAAATTGTTAAAGAGAAATAGTTATTTCCAAATTTATTTTATAAAGTGTTAGGCTATCTTTAGGGATTCTGTTTTACTTCTTTTTTATGCTAAGCTACTGTATAGAACATCTCAATTCATGGTTGCTTTCTACGATTTTACTGTCAGTTTCATTTTGTTTCGTACTGTTTTGTGGTGTAATTTAAATATGACGCACCAATTAGTTGCTTTTGTCACATAAACCGCGGCGCAGGAGTGTAATAAAGCCATTTAATAAAAAAACGATATTACACTAGTGTAATAACACTTTAACGTGACGTCATTTGCGCTATATAGAAACACCGCGTTAAAGCGCGCTAATGTAAGCGTTACACTACGGGGGCGTCATTGAAAAAATACTCATTTTAACAGTTCACTGTTCCTATTTTGAATATGTGATAAATAGAATGTTATATTCGTGTAGATTCAATACTAAATTTATTGAACACGTTGAATGAAACAATATTATGCTCGCCAGAGGCTCGCATATTATGATTTTATTCAACTCGTTCAATAAATTTAGAATTAAACTACACTCATTCAATATCCTCTATTTAATTGATATTCAAAGCACTGTTCAAAAACGCAAAATTAGGACGATTTATCGGGTAATTATAGATAAAAAATGTTTTACTGACACATTATGCACAATTTAATGATAACTCTGATATCTTATTATTTGTTTACATTTATGCAATGGAAATCTTGAAAAAGAGCAATCCCTCTCGGAAGCAGTAAAATAAGACTAGTGTACGAAAATTAATTGCAGACCCGGTTTGATCAAGCCTCGAGAAAAAGAGTAAAATTGCGTCATCTCTCACGCCCTCGAGCACCTGTTTAAGCGGTTTTAAATCTTCAACAACTCATGTGCTGGTATCAATGATCCTGAAAGACGAGAAAAATAAACCAACACTGAAATGAAGTAGGGAGTTACTTTAAACAGCTGCTACACGGCACGTGAATCCTGCTGCTGATGAGAGGC